GTCCCCCCGGTCCCCCCAGGCCCCCCAGGTCACCCAGGTCCCCCCGGTCCCCCAGGTGCAGCCCATCCAGCCGGCCCCAGCCGGGGTGGGCTCCAGCCCCGTGACCAAGGTGTCGCCACCGCCGGTGCCCATCACGTGCTCCGAGACCCCCACCGTGAGCCAGCTGGTGTCCAGTGAGTCACTGGGAGCACTGGGAGCACTGGGAGGGGGGTGGTGGTCTCTGCGGGGAATAGTGGGGTCTGGGGTCCCTGGGAAGGGGCGTGGCAGGAACTGGGATCCAGTGGGGAGAGGGATAATGGGGTCTGGGGTCCCTGGGAGGGGGGATAATGGGGTCTGGGTCCCTTAATAATAGTGGGGTCAGGAAATTTTTGGGAAGAGAGATATTGGAGTCTGGAATCCCTGGGAAGAGAAGTAACAAAGTGTGGGAGGAGATAAGAATTGGGGGAGGAGATAAGAGGGACTGTGGGAAAAAGGGATAACGGAGTCTGGGATCCCTGGGCAGAGGGATAACGGGAACAGGGATAACAGGGACTGGGAACAGGGATAACAGGGACTGGGAAGGGGATAACAGGGACTGGGGTCTTTGGGAGGAGGGATAATGGGAACAGGGATAACAGGGACTGGGGTCTTTGGGATTACCAGAGTCAAGGAACCACTGGGAGGAGGAAACACTGGGTCTGGGGTCCTCGGGAAAAGGGACAACAGGGACTGGGGTCCCTGGGCAGAGTGGGCTCTGGGTTCCCCTGGCACTGCAGGCTCTGGGTCCCTGGCACTGCAGGCTCTGGCTCCCTGGGCACTGCCAGGCTCTGGTTCCCTGGGCACTGCAGGCTCTGGGTTTCTGGGCACTGCAGGCTCTGGGGCACAGCAATCTCTGGCTCTGGGCTCTGGGGTCCCTGGCCCAGGGCTCACAGCCCCCCGTGTCCCCCCAGAGCCCCCCGCCCCGCCCAGCGCGGAGGAGGACGGGATCAACCTGGAGGAAATCCGGGAATTCGCCAAGAACTTCAAACTGCGGCGCCTCTCGCTGGGGCTGACCCAGACCCAGGTGGGGCAGGCCCTGACGGCCACCGAGGGCCCTGCCTACAGCCAGTCTGCCATCTGCAGGTAACGGCACCTGGGACAGGGACAGGGAATGGCACCTGAGGGACAGGGAATGGCACCTGGGACAAGGACAAGGACAGGGACAGGGAATGGCTCCTGGAACAGGGACAGGGACAGGGAATGGCACCTGGGACAGGGACAAGGACAGGGACAGGGAATGGCACCTGGGACAGGGACAGGGAAGGCACCTGGGGGACAGGGACAGGGACAGGGACAGGGCCATCTGCAGGTAATTGTAACCTGGGGGACAGGACGGGGCCAGCTGCAGGTAAACACCACGGGGATAGGACAGGTACATCTGCCAGATAGAGTGGGGGACACGAGAGGGACAGGGACAGGGACAGGGCCAGCTGCAGGTGTGGGGACAGGACGGTCACAGGGGCCAGGTCGGGACAGGCCCAGAGGCAGGGACAGGAGGAGGAAAAGATGGAAGTTGGGGGAAGGAGAAGTGGAGAAAGGGAGGAAAGGAAGGAAACTGGAGAGAAGGAGGAAAACTGGGGAAGGGGGAAAGGAAAGGGGGAAAGGGGGGAGAGGTGGAGGGAGGGGAACTGGAGAAAAAGGAAAATGGGCAGAGGAGGAAACTGAGAAGGGGAAGGGAATGGGCCAAGGAGGAAAGCGAGAAAGGAAGGGAATGGCAAAGGAGGGTGTTGGGCGTTGCTCCCCCCTCACTGTCACCCCCCCGTCCCAGCCTGCTGTCCCCTTGGCCCCATCCCTGAGGGTCTCCCGTGTCCTCCAGATCCCCTCAGGTTTGACAAGCTGGACATCAGCCCCAGGACACCCCCTGAGTGTCCCCTGATTGTCCTCTGTGTCCCCAGGTTCGAGAAGCTGGACATCCCCCCCGAGTGTCCCCTGTGTCCCCCCTCAGTGTCCCCATGTCCCTGCAGGTTCGAGAAGCTGGACATGTCTCCCGAGTGTCCGCTGTGTCCCCTGAGTGTCCTCTCTATCCCCAGGTTTGAGAAGCAGGACATCACGCCCAAGTGTCCCCTGTGTCCCCCTCCAAGTGTCCCCTGAGTATCCCCATGTCCCTGCAGGTTTGAGAAGCTGGACATCCCCCCTGAATGTCCCCTGAGTGTCCCCTGAGTGTCCCATGTTCCCGCAGGTTCGAGAAGCTGTACATTCCCCCCCGAGTGCCCCCTGAGTGTCCCCTCTGAGTGTCCCCTGTGTCCCCAGGTTCAAGAAGCTGGACATCACGCTGTGTCCCCTGAGTGTCCCCTGTGTCCCCATGTAACCACAGGTTCGAGAAGCTGGACATCCCCCCCGAGTGCCCCCTGAGTGTCCCCTCTGAGTGTCCCCTGTGTCCCCAGGTTCAAGAAGCTGGACATCACGCTGTGTCCCCTGAGTGTCCCCTGTGTCCCCATCTCCCTGCAGGTTCGAAAAGCTGGACATCACATTGAGTGTCCCCTGTGTCCCCTGATTGTCCCCTGTGTCCCCAGGTTCGAGAAGCTGGACATCACACTGAGTGTCCCCTGTGTCCCCTGATTGTCCCCTGTGTCCCCAGGTTCGAGAAGCTGGACATCACACTGAGTGTCCCCTGTGTCCCCTGATTGTCCCCTGTGTCCCCAGGTTCGAGAAGCTGGACATCACATTGAGTGTCCCCTGTGTCCCCTGATTGCCCCCTGTGTCCCCAGGTTCGAGAAGCTGGACATCACACTGAGTGTCCCCTGTGTCCCCTGATTGTCCCCTGTGTCCCCAGGTTCGAGAAGCTGGACATCACACTGAGTGTCCCCTGTGTCCCCTGATTGTCCCCTGTGTCCCCAGGTTCGAGAAGCTGGACATCACACTGAGTGTCCCCTGTGTCCCCTGATTGTCCCCTGTGTCCCCAGGTTCGAGAAGCTGGACATCACATTGAGTGTCCCCTGTGTCCCCTGATTGCCCCCTGTGTCCCCAGGTTCGAGAAGCTGGACATCACACTGAGTGTCCCCTGTGTCCCCTGATTGTCCCCTGTGTCCCCAGGTTCGAGAAGCTGGACATCACACTGAGTGTCCCCTGTGTCCCCTGATTGTCCCCTGTGTCCCCAGGTTCGAGAAGCTGGACATCACATTGAGTGTCCCCTGTGTCCCCTGATTGTCCCCTGTGTCCCCAGGTTCGAGAAGCTGGACATCACATTGAGTGTCCCCTGTGTCCCCTGATTGTCCCCTGTGTCCCCAGGTTCGAGAAGCTGGACATCACACTGAGTGGCCCCTGTGTCCCCTGATTGTCCCCTGTGTCCCCAGGTTCGAGAAGCTGGACATCACACTGAGTGGCCCCTGTGTCCCCTGATTGTCCCCTGTGTCCCCAGGTTCGAGAAGCTGGACATCACATTGAGTGTCCCCTGTGTCCCCTGATTGTCCCCTGTGTCCCCAGGTTCGAGAAGCTGGACATCACATTGAGTGTCCCCTGTGTCCCCTGATTGTCCCCTGTGTCCCCAGGTTCGAGAAGCTGGACATCACACTGAGTGGCCCCTGTGTCCCCTGATTGTCCCCTGTGTCCCCAGGTTCGAGAAGCTGGACATCACACTGAGTGTCCCCTGTGTCCAGCACACCTGTGCCTGTGTCCAGCACACCTGTACCCATGTCCAGCACACCTGTGCCTGTGTCCAACACACCTTCACCTGTGTCCAGCACACCTGTACCTGTCCTCTACACCTGTACCTGTGTCCACCATGCCCATATATGTGTCCACCACGCCCATACCTGTGTCCAGCACACCTGTACCTGTGTCCACCATGCCCAGACCTGTGTCCAGCACACTTTTACCTGTGTCCAGGCCCTCACCTGCCCCTCAGCAACTCCCACATGCCCTAAACTGGGAGCACCCGGGTTCCCCGGCCTCCTGCCATCAGCACTTTG